ATAAACCATGTCCTAGGTGAGTATTTATAAGCCTGAGCGAAAACTAGACAAACAATTCTGAGAATAAGTGACAACTATAACAGTTCATGATAAGACAGTCACAACAAAGGAAATGCTATGCATTAAGTGATTTTTCTTGCAAATCCTTTATACATATGTCAGGCTGTGTGCTGGCAGAGTGAAAGAGAATAAATCAAAAAGAATACCCATATAAGAAAAGGTTTTTAGGCAAATGCTGTCTTGTATGCATAAATCAAATAAATAGTATTCAAAAAACTCAAAGGAACAGCATAGATTTCTATGGAATTTTACACAATGAAGCTATTTAGCAATTGCACAACAATTTATATTTATGGAGCACTTTACAATTATTTGTTCATTAAATCTTATGACATTTCTGGCAAGTAGGTCCATACCATTAGTTTAGTTTTATAGCCAAGGTAACTGAAGCAGGGAATTGTTAAGGGAATTTCTCAAGATCACAAGGCCAGGTGTGGAATGACCAAGGAATTTACACCTGAACTGCTCTCACAATCTGGGGCTGTAGTTCTGGGGTGGTTTAGCAGCCTCTTAACTCTCTCTCTGATGAGGATCAGGTGGGAGGGTGGGGTATGCCTCACATCGCATCTGGGGGTGGGGAATAAAGACAATGGCTCCTGGCATCAAATCTAGAAGCACCAGTAGTTGGTGCTGGCATTGGCATTAAGGTGGAACTTGAACCACAACAGCATGCCAAGACATGTCTATATGATGCAAACACCTGCAATGGAGCCGACTTAGAGATGTTCACGATGGTAAGCCTAATGCTCTAATTTCAGCCCAGCCTCCAATTACCTAGGGCATTTCAAATATATTCCAATGCCTATCCAAATCTGTGAGGTTGGAATTCGGACAGGGTTATTACTGAGGAGCAGCCCAGATTTTTCTCACATGTAGCCAGAGTTGAGAACCACCAGTGTAAAGAGCCTTCCATGTCTACTGCACATGGTGGAGCAGGTTGTTCACTGTATATATACCTTGGTGAGGAGCGAATGAGGACCAAAATTCAGCCCACACAGTGTTTGCTAATTTGAAGGTGGCTCTTGTTTTCAAAAGAATCACCTTTTGTCTAATTCCCACAAAGGAGGCACTGGGTCATTGCTCCACTCTTGGATATGCGTTGCTCCATAGCCTACATATTTCATTTTCAGCTTATTTTTTATGCCTTTCCTTATTCATTAGAAATTATATGTAGCATCTACCACATGCTGGACACTTAGTATACTCAGGAGATACAACTATACCACAATCACAGCCCTGACCTTACAGAGTCCAGTCTGCTGGGGAAGACAAGGGATGGAACAGAGAGTTACAGGATAACAGGTATGTAGGAAGCTGGGGGCTCTCCACCACCTACACTAGGGCCTCAGGGGAACCGTGTAATGATATAAAAGGGAGGGGTGGTTTTCAAGATTGAGTGGCAGCATTTGAAGAAACCTGGAATCAGGAGGGATGGAGAATTAGTGCGGAAATGGCAGGGTCAGCCCATCCACCTGGAGCACAGGGTAAGGGAAAGATGGAGGGCGGCTTGGGAGTGTGGCAGGTTCTCCCAGTCTTCCAAGGGCTGTGTTGGTCACGTGCAAACTTCATCATTTTACTCTGCGGCTCAGTCCTACCTTCCTCCTTGCATTTGTCCATCCTTTCTCCCTCCCTCCTCTCTTCAAATGTGGTTCTTTATTAGAGCAAAATAAAGAGTCTAAAGCACTTACACCCTACTTTCTGCAATTTCTGACTCTAAGCACTGCAAAGAAAGAAAAAGCTTGGAAGCAGGCAAAGGAACAAACTAGCATGGGGACACAGATGCCACTTGCTTTACTTGGTGCCACCTGGCACCACCTCACAGTTGGCACAGATTCCTCCCTACTTACCACTCTCTTCACTTGATATGTCTGGTCCTGAAGTCACATTGAAAATCACCGTCTAAATACCTGGATTGGTGGGAGTGGGAGGGGGGAGAGGGATGGCAATGAAACAAGCCTTGTCATGAGCTCATGAAATTATTAAAGCCGGAAGATGAGCACATGGGCATTTTATTACACTAACCTCTACTTCTGATTGAAATTTTCCATTATAAAAAGGAGAAAAGCAAAAGCAAACAAGATCTTCTGCTGCCTTTGTCTTCTTTCATTTTGCTTTTCATTGCTTCTGGTAATGTTCTGTTTTCAAAAAAACTCTGGTTTGAGGTGGGAAGGTTGTGTGAAGGGGTACAACAGCAATATTTGATGGGGATATGCAAATATCACCTCAATTAAAAATAAATAAAATTTTTAAAAGAAAGCAATTAAAAATAAACAAATAAAACTAATGTAGTAAATTAAAAAATAAAAACAAAGAAACTGTACTCTGGTTTCATTTGATTTGGAGCCCACTTTTTACTCCAAAATAGTATGTCTTTATTTTAGTCACAGGATTATTTTAATGAGGCAAATTTTTCAAAGTTAAAACCATGATTCATCTCTCCCCCTTCCCAAAAGTTGAGGAGTATGTTGTAGGATACACCTATTCATTCCCTTCTTGATTCCTCAAATTCTGATAAATGACCTTCATTCCCCTCCCACTGTGGCCATGACAACTTTCAACATTCAGAGATGCTGTCAGGCCAACACTCTGACTATACATCCCCCATGAAATCAGGAGTGTTTGGCCTCTTACACTTGGAAGATGAAGACCTGCAATGGGAAATGCAGGGAAATAGACATTCAGCTTTTGAGCAACTTCAACTCATGCACCTCCAAGTCTATCCCACCCCATTTCTACACATTAGCTGCAGCATTATAAACAGCTCCTAAGTCTCTACCTTCCTGGGCATGAGATCTTACACTTCTAAAGTAGAATGAGACGTTGCACAGGACTCCAAACCATATAGACATTTCACACGATTTCATAATGTCCTAGAATCACAGTACACATATTTGCTATAAGACATGGCCTTTCTGGACAGGCACCACCTCAAACATGCATCTGCTGTGCACAGGTGTCGCGTTGTGTTCTATGATCTTGTTTACACTTGTTCCTCCCGTAGATGGAAAGAATGTGGCTGAACAGTCTTTAAACTCCCAGTGTCATGGAGAGCTGTGTGGAGATTTCTGGATCTACTAAACATAGAGCTTCCACATGATCCAGCAATTCCACTCCTAGGTATTTACCCAAAGGACACAGAAACATCAATTCCAAAGAGCACCTGCACCCCTATGTTTATAGCAGCACTGTTTACAATAGCTAAGCTTTGGAAACAACCCAAATGCCCAAAAATAGATGACTGGATCAAGAAGATGGGGTACATATATACCATGGAATATTACTCAGCATTCAAAAAAGATAAACACATGCAATTTGCAGCAACATGGATGGCGCTGGAAGGGATCATGCTCAGCGAAATAAGCCAGAAAGAAAAAGAAAAATACCGGATGGTCTCACTCATAGCAGGAATCTAGAAAACTTAAATAAGGGACCAGGAAAATAAATAACTATAAGAAAGTGAAAATCAAAATCAACAAAAAACTATGAACCAGAGACACTCTATGGGGGGTAGGGGGCGGGAGGGGAGGGATTGGGGTCAAAATAAGGGGGTTGCAATTGTATGGGGAATATAAAAATTAAATTTATTATTAAAAAAATAATAAAAATAAATAAATAAACTCCCAGTATCTATTTGACCCAGGTAGCTGACCCACACGTGTTTAAGGGAATGAGTGACCTATTCATGCTGAAACGTAAACCTACTTAATTAGAAGAAATTTATTTGAAAATAAAGAGTAAGTCTTCCAGCACGCACACATGGTTCTATTATACTCATCTTTTGATGGCTATGCTTCCCATACACAAGAACTGTGACATGGCTCTGGGTCTGTCTGTTGAGAACAGTTATTCTGCCCCAACTCTACCTCTGCCAAAGCAGTCATTTGAACGAAAAAAAGAGAAAGGAAAATCAAACTTTTCACTTACACTTTTTTCAAGATTGAACACCCAACTTATCAATGAAGGATTTCTATTATTTCGACCAGTCTTTATAGCTTTATGGCTATCAATGAAGTCTATATGACTTTTGTCTATCCAAGGACAAATTAATATCATTTCTGTGATTAATTTCCAAAGGGAAAAAGGATGGGGTTGGCTTTCTTTAAGACAGTGTGTGGGAAGAGCTTTTTCCACAAGCAGACAATGTGGAGTGAGTCTGTGCCTCCCTCTCTTTGTTATTTCTGTTCCCAGGATGCAAGGGGAGTGGATGAAGACTTGAAGCCTACCAGATAGAAGCACCCTTTGCTACTCCTAAGGGAAAACAGAAGAGAGAGTCAGCAGACTTTGCTCTGCTCTGTGCTACTGTGAAGTTACTAGATTACACAGGAATCCAGCCATAAATTTGCTTCCACTAGCATAAATCACACAAATAGGACAGAAGTGAACATGTGCTAAAGCCAAATGTGCATATTGAGATTCTTTTGTCATCTCAACCAAATCTTAACACTGTAATTTCATGGCTCTGTCCTTCATTCGAAATCTTACATTTTCTTAAAGAAACTGGAAGGGTGAGGTGTGTCCAACAGCAGCCACCAAAGATTTCCCTTCTCACATGCCCTCCCTGGCCGATGCTCAGGGCCCTCTGACCTCCTGTAGCAGAACGCAAAGTGCAGACAATGGCTCTGCCACTCCTTGATGATTCACTGAGTTCAAACGATAGCTAAGGAAACTGTGGCTTGGAGGAGTCAAATCTCCAAAGGGCAGAAGGATGGGCTGGCTTTCTCTAATACAGGGACAGTATGTGGGAAGAGCATTTTCCCACAAGAGTTGCTTGAGTATCCTACTGAGCTGACCAATATCAGGGCCTTTCGGGGGGCTCCTGCCCAGTATGTGTTCATCAAGCGTGAGGTCCCCACCCGACAGGCTGCCCTTATGAGATGCTGCTTCTCAGGCATCATGTGATCAGACGAGTCTCCTGTCTTTTCTCTGACTGTATCACTGACCTGTGGATTTCCCTCAAGGCCGGAGCCCATATCTCCTCTCCGTCACATGGCCCTTCTCTCGTTAGGTACTCAATAAATGTTGTTGACAGGCTGGCTGACTGCCTAACTGACAAGAGATGGCATCTCTCCACCAAGGGCAAGTGTCCTTCAGCGCCTTTATTTATTGCTTTATGTCACATGGTGTCATCAGCATGATATAATTTTCCTGAAATGCACATCAGGATTAATAAGAGAGTTAAAGAATTCTAAATTGTTAGAGGGTATTGGTTCTAATTAGCATCATATCATTAGTAACAGGACTTGAATAATGACTTACAGGTGTAGAAATCTTTGGAGCTAAACATGTCAATTTCATCCTGAATATTTTCTAAATGTCCCCAATTTTTATGACCTCATTTGTATGTATATTAGAGAATTTTCAACTGTGGTTACTTCCTACTCCTGTAATTGTGGGAGACAAAAATCAAGTGTAATAACCACATGTTATGCTGTTAACAGAGGATAAAAACAAACTTCTATTTGAAGTTCACCCTTCATTTCAACAAATCATCAGTAAAATGCCTGGGAATTAAAGTGCAGACATGTCTGTCCCAAGTTAAACTCATCAACATTTTTGCAAGAAAATGGGGGTGGGGTGGAGTTGAGAACATTTGATTTCCACTTGCTTCTTGGACAGCTTTTCCTTAGTAAATATTAAGTAAAAGCCTATGTGCGTGTGCGCACGCGCACACACACCACCCCAATAGAGCAAAGCCGTTTTATGAGGTTTATGAAATGGTTCTGAATTTTAAAATAGTCCATTCATTTGTCACTCCCCTTGCCTGCCATTTTTTTAAAATCTCCATCACCATCCCTCTTATAAACACTCCCCAAATGCTGTCAGATGGGTTAGCATTGCCTTGCACTTTTGTTCTTTGTTAATTTTGGATAAAGTCCTAGACTGTAGCAATATTATTGAACTCATTTCTGCTTAGGTCTCAAGTTTCCATAGCTGTTCTATTACCAAGTGGCAGTGCACCCTATAGGCACAATAAATAAATAATACAGCACTGAAGCTATAACAAATCACAAAATACATTATTAAAAAATTAAGAAATAAATATCCCCCTCTTACTTAAATAGAGATTGATTTTATAATGTGGAATGCTGAGGAGAGCTGCTCCGAGATATATTAAAGCCTGGGGACACGGAGAATACACTGTAATGGGCATTTTGCTCCCTCAGCCAGAGGAAAAAATTCCTCCAAGTGAATGGATGTATTTGTGAAGTGGAAGCTGATATTCTCTGTTTGTTCAGCAGCCAGGTATGATGCACTGCCGGCTTCGACATGTGAGGGTGGAAAGACCTGCAGGACACATCTGTCTTTCCTAAGCACAAACTGTTAGTCTAGATGAGGGTGATGAAGACAAATGCTTTCTTGGAACTAAAGTTGGAGAAGCTTCTTTCTTTTCACTTTAAATCACAATCCCAGCTTCCAAAAAGATGTTCTCAAACTAGGATTCTGCCAAGCTTCCTCCAAGGTGTTTCATTTAACAAGGAGAGGATATGGTGTAGATCTTTCCACAAGGTATATATTTCAAGAGGAGAAATTAAATAGGATCCCTTCTTCAGGCACATGAAGATTTCCAATGGAAAAGACAAAGGCTATTGGGTTCCTAGAATTTCAGTCACTCACTCTGGCTTCCCGTGAAGATTTTCTGGATCCCTCAACTTACCAAGAAGCCAACGCCTCCTAGTCCATCCTGGGATAGCAAGATATTTCTCTTTGATGTCTTGGGGTTGCACAAATCTTGCTGAATGCACTGACCTCAGCAAAGACTTCCAACACCTTTGCATGAGGAGAAAGGACAGTGACTATTGCTTCCACCCTTCTCCTCTCTGAAGTTATGTAAGTTTACTCTAGAGGCACAGAGAAAGAAGTACTTCATTTGCTTATCTGATTGCTCTCTGTAAAGGAGGCTAGAGGAGACTCAAACATCCTCCCAGAGTTGGAAGTATGCACCCATGCAGAGAGGATTTCCCATCAACGGAGTAGTTTTCAATCAGACCATTGGAAATGGTTTGCTTGCAATGAACTGATCTATTTGTGGATAAGACAGTAAATCAGTGAGCTTCTCTGGTTCCAGAGGCTCTCAGGGCGTCATTTGCCAAGTTCTTGACTTGTCTGTATGCTTTTTTTATATGACTGTGTCCTTTGTATATATCTTGCAAGTACATAAGGCAAATACAAGCAAGGATCATGGTTATGAAGTAGCTTTTGCTTTTCTTATTTTTCAAAGAGACATTTTTCTCCCCTATACCTGAAATTCTCTGGAACATGCAGACATCCAGTGTATCTCTGGGAGACATCTAGAGCTCTGAGAGACTCTGACATTTTCACTGTATGGACATTTATATCTGGCTGGTAAATGTAGAAAAGTGGAGAATGGAGGGAGGTTTATCACATGCAAAGCCTGATGTGGAATATATCACTTCTATCCATGTTCCACTGGCCAGAACTATTGATAGTTACATAATCTCACCTGGAAATGGGGCTGGAAATGTCCCTCCCAGTTAGGCATCAACATGCAGGGGGAAGACTGCAACAATAGAAAGTTAGAAGGTTGGTGAGAAATGTGTCAGCTGGCATCCCAGCGACAAGTTAAAACTCAGTGTGGGAAATGCAAACTATTCGACATCCCACAGCAGATCTGAAGTTCTTACAAAGATCGTGGTGATTACTTAGCAATTTAACTTCTCAAGATGACCTCTGCCTTTGGATTCCCACTTCTGTATCTGCTGTCTCCGTACTGCAGTGCCCAGTGCAAATGCAAAAGTCACCCCTCCTTAGTTTTGAATGGCTGCACACACATGTATGCACATCAGCATGTACATTTGCACATACAAAGTGCATGAGAATTAGGGTAGGTCCTACTAAAACTTTGTAGATTATGGGGATTTATGGATTATGGTGCAATTCACATACAAACAACTTCCCATCCAAATTAGTTTTGACAGAATTTCTCATGGTTTGTGTCAGTCCCAAGAAACATCCAACTCTTTGATGCCTCTCTGGTTCACTGATCTATCATCTTCTTTCCTCCTCTCCCTATTCTAGGAGTAAAATCCTGAATTCCTCTGTTTACTTCTTGCAGAGCACATTGTCTTTCAGTTTGCTTGAGCCCCCTACCAGCAACCCCTAGTAGTTAATCAAAGTGCTTCCCTGAGAGGTACTGGGAAGAGAACACTTTTTACCTGGTTGCATTAGTAAATTCTCAGGAAGTATGTCTTTTTGCCCTGTTTTTGCCCTGTTAGAGTACTGTTGTAATTATTCATTCATCTACTCAAGAACAGTAGGGTGTCCTGAGTAGGGTGTGCTAAGCACAGTAGGGTATGCTAAATATAAGAATAGAGTAGTGAGGGCCTCCCTGGTGGCAAAAGGGGTTGAGCACAGGACTGTGAAGCTGTCTGCAGCCTCTGCAGCATAAGTTTTATCCCCAGTTGGCCAGGGAGCTACCCCCTGGCACAGCAGACTCACCTGCTGCTCCCCTCAGCAGTGTATTTGAGTAGATCTGCCTGTTCTGTTCCCCACTCTGTCTCTGGTGAATACTCTAGGCCCCTGCACCTCTGGCCTGTACCCCAGTTCTTGTATGCATAAATAAATAAATCTTAAAAAAAGAATACAGTAGTAAACAAAACCAATGCAGAACTTGTGTTCATGGAGCTTACACTTAAGCAGGAGAGACAATTAAAAATAAATGAACTGACTTACAATCATAATTTGTCATCAGAGTTATGATAGAACAAATAAAGAGCTGAGATAAAAAACAGAAAATGGAGCTAATATTCCATGTAGGATACTCAAGAAATTCTGCCCAAAGGAAAGAAGTATCAATAAAAACAAGATTTTTAAGATGAGAGGGAGTTAACCACACAGGGAAGACACTTGATGCAAAAGGAAGAGCAGAGACCTTAGGGGAGAACAAAACTTGGCTTCATAGATAGACTTATAAACATGGCTGAGCCCCCCTGTCTCTTCACCAAGACTCTCCTTCCAGAGTGTCAATTTGTGACTGGGTAGTGGCTGCCCAAGCAGGGCAGGTCATGCGGCATAGTTGTGACCATAGAATAAAATGGGTTAGACTCATCTGCATCCTCAACCCCCAAATTTTTTTCTTCCTCCCTTTGCTGGCTGGATGTCAATGCACAAGGAGATCTTAAAGTTATATTATGAAAACAATGGTGTTTCCATTGGTCCAGGTTCCTAAATGACTGTATGGAGCACCGCTGCCAATTGAGTGTATTATGAGTGGATTGGTTACTTATTATAATTGTAACAAATTACCCCCAAATTCAGACAAGCAACACACATTTATATCTCACAGTCCCTGTGAGTCAGTAATATGGACACAACATAGCTAGAGCCTCTGCTTTAGAGTCTCTCAATAGGACTTAAATTAAGGGTTTGTGTGAGGTCATTGTCTCATCTAAAGTCTCCACTAGGGAAGAATTTGCTTCCAAACTCACCTCTGTGGTTGTTGACAAGATTGATTCAATTCAATGGCTGCAGGATTTTGGACCTCACTTCCTTGTTGGGGGTGGGTCAGGAGGTTCCTTTAGTTTTCTTGTTTTGTTTTGTGTTTTTTTTTTTTTGTCACGTGGGCCCTTCTAGCTTGCTTCATTAAAGCAAGTGCACACAAAGAGCCAGAGAGAAAGTGGTAGGAAGACAGAAGTCACTATCTTTTGCAGTCTAACCATGTAAGTGACACCTGTCACTTATACCATATTCTATTTGATAGAGTGAGTTACTAGAGATTTCACTAGGACATTACACCAGAAGGCAGGGATTTGGAGGAGCCATTCAGAAGCTGTCTACCACTATCAGTAATGTATAAACTTCTGTTGTGCTAAGCCACTGAGATTCCAGGTTTTATCTGTTATGGCAGTTGACATTATCATAAGTAACAAGAGGAGAGCAGCAACAGATGGTTCTAGTAAAGTGAGGTTAGAGCGAGCCAGGTCATGCAACACCTATAAACTCTGATAAGAAACTGACTTTAAAAATTTTTTTCATTAAATACCATTGTTTGACATCCTTGTTAATATCTTGGCAGTACAGGGTTTCTCCCCTCAGGCATGATCGCCATAGTTCTCCCACCACCAAAGCACCCATAGTCTGCTGCACCATAGTCTGCTGTGCTCTCCCTACCCCTTTCCTCTTTTCTCCTCCTCTCTCCCTCTGTCTCTGGATGCCTCAGATCTATGGCCAACTTTCAAGAGTTGGTTTTAATGTTTGTCTTTGTCTGACCCTTTGAAGAAATTGACTTTTTTTCTAAGTGCAATGGGAGAGCATTGGATTTAAGCATGAGAAAGAAGGGATCTATTTTTTTTTCTATCTTACTATTGTTTATAAATACACTGGGAGCAAACAAGAGTTGGAGCAGAGAGTACTATCAAGAGGCTGTTGTCATCTGATGCAGTGCTAGGTAATAAAGAAAAGGGTACATGAAGGTTAATTCTGTGGGTCAACTTGACTGGGCCACCATGCCTAGTTATGTGCTCAGACACAGCTCTGGATGTTTATGTGAGGGTGTTGGGAATGAGATGAACATTTAAATCGGTGGGAATTCAGTAAAACAGACAGCAAGGATACTGTGGGTGGGTCTCATCCAATCAGCTGAAGGTCTACACAGAACAAAGAGACACACTTCCCCAAGCAATAGTGAATTCTGCAGCAGATGGCCTTTGGACTTGAACTGCAACATTGGCTCTCTCCTCTGTCTCCTGTCTGCCAGCCCACCCTGCAGAGTTTGGACTTGCCAGTCTCCATAACTGTGTGAGCCAATTCCTTAACATAAATCTCTCTCTACACATAGATACACATAAACGTATATAAGTACATATATACACAATAGGATGTGTGTGTACACACACACACACACACACACACACACACACCCTATTGGTTCTGTTTCTCTGGAGAATCCTAATATAAGGGGTTTATCCACCCAATACAGAGAGGTAGCAGCACCTGGGGTAGCCAATTCTGCTATTTTTTAAAAATCTATTCTGTGTTCTGGCCACTCTGTTACACATTTTACCTACACACCACCTCACTCAATCATTCAATAAATATCGATTTTTACACCCATTTTACAAATGAGGAAATCAAGACTCAGAAAGTTAAGTGAATTATCCAAGGCCACATACCTAGTAAGTGGCAGAACTGTGTGATCAATTTGTCAGGAGTCCTTTTTTTTCCAAATGATTGAATGGAAAATAGCTGCAGTAACAAAAAAAATCAAGTGTTAGTGCTTCAAATCTGAAATTCCATTTTGCTGATGGTCAAAGCAAATTCATTAAATCCAGTACATTTTCCTTATGTATTTAAATAACATTTGCAATCTGTGAGGGGCCCTTCTTTCTGCTAACGCATGGCAATTATATCTTAACACTGCAACTGCAAATCTGGTTTTTAGCTTTCCCATTTGTTTCCATGCGCATACTTTTACAGCCAATTGTTAACGGATTAACAACTTTGGGTGGAATCCATCAGTCTGCCTTCATGATTGGGAGAGTCTGTTGACAAGGACTGAGCACAGAGGGGCTGGCTCTAACTTGAGTGGGCCAAATGGTGCATTAGGCCTCTCAGTAAACATTATTGTTCCTCTGCTATGTTCCAGACTCTGTGCTAAACATTCTGGACTCTACCTCATCCACAGCAAGGAGACTTTCTTAATCTTCTGAGATCCCAGAATGAAAAAAAAAGTTCCATCAAGAGATAAACAGGGCCTCCCCAGTGGCTCAGCGGTTGAGCGCTGGGTTGCGAAGCTGCCCGCAGCCTCTGCAGCGCCGGTTCGATCCCCGGCTGCTCCAGGCCACTGGAGGAGGGTCCCACATGGCGCGCAGACCTCTCCTGCTGCCTGCTGCTCCCCTCAGCAGTGTACTTCAATCCTTCTGCCTGCTCTGCTCCCGGCTCTGGCTCTGGTGAATTCTTTCACCCTCCCTCGCTTCTGACTGTACCCAGTGCTTGTATAAATAAATAAATAAATCTAAAAAAAAAAAAAGAGATAAACACATCTACATAGGAAAATATTTAGCTCAAAAATACAACCAAGCTGATATGTCCCTAATTTTTTAATATACTTATCTACCTATTATCTATGTATCATCTATTTTTATCCATCTATCATATTATCCATTGATCTATCCACCCATGTCTCAACAGTTTCTAAGCAATAATTTTCAATAACAGTACTTGAAAATAATCAAAAAAATGTTAACATCTAAAACCCATTCTCTCTTTTTTTTGGGGGGGGGTTATTTTTTATTTTTATAATTAATTAATTATTAACTGGGGTATTCCCACCACAGTGCTCACACCATCAACTTACCCATGTTCAACTACCATAAGCCATTGTGCTTCCTTCCCCCTTTATTCTCTCCCCAACCCTTCCTCCTCTTGGTGTTTCAGTGCTGTAGTGGGCTATCAAAGGTTACTTTTTCAACTTGTCTTTATCTGACTATTAATTTAGCTACTTTATATTCCACACATTCGTGACACCATCCAGTTTTTACCTTTCTCCTTCTGACATATTACACTTAGCATTATTCTTTCAAGTACCATCCATATTACCACCCATGGCATGAATTTATCTTTTTTGATCCCTGAGTAGTATTCCACTGTGTATATATACACCAAATCTTGATCCACTCATCTGTTCTGGGGCACTTGGGTTGTTTCCAAAGTTTAGCTTTAATAAGTAGTGCTGCAATACACATGTGAGTGGAAATTTGCTTTTGAAGTAGTGTTTCTGAATTTTTTGCATAGATGCCCAGGAGTGGAGTTATGGGACTGAATGGCAGATCCATGTTTAATGTTCTGAGACACCTCCATACTGCTTTTCATAGTGGTTGGACCAGTCTGCATTTTTTTTTTTTAATTGCTTACCATTGTTTATTGAATCAAATTAACAATTTCCAGCTTATAGGCAACACAATACCTTTTCCAGTCTTCTCCACCATATAGGTAATTCAGTCTGCTTTTCCTATTTCTTTTTTTTTCTTTTTTTTTTTATTGTTATATTCCCATACAATTGCAGCCCCCCCATTCTGACCCCAATCCCTCCCCTCCCGCCCCCGCCCCCTAAAAGTGTCTCTGGTTCATAGTTTTTTGTTGATTTTGATTTTCACTTTCTTATAGTTATTCATTTTCCTGGTCCCTTATTTAAGTTTTCTAGATTCCTGCTATGAGTGAGACCATCCGGTATTTTTCTTTTTCTTTTTGGCTTATTTCGCTGAGCATGATCCCTTCCAGCGCCATCCATGTTGCTGCAAATTGCATGTGTTTATCTTTTTTGAATGCTGAGTAATATTCCATGGTATATATGTACCACATCTTCTTGATCCAGTCATCTATTTTTGGGCATTTGGGTTGTTTCCAAAGCTTAGCTATTGTAAACAGTGCTGCTATAAACATAGGGGTGCAGGTGTTCTTTGGAATTGATGTTTCTGTGTCCTTTGGGTAAATACCTAGGAGTGGAATTGCTGGATCATATGGAAGCTCTATGTTTAGTAGGTCCAGAAATCTCCACACAGCTCTCCACAGTGGTTGGACCAGTTTGCACTCCCACCAACAGTGCAGAAGAGTTCCTTTTTCTCCACACCCTCGCCAGCATTTGTTGTTGCTAGTTTTTTTAATATGTGCCATTCTCACTGGTGTAAGATGGTATCTCATGGTAGTTTTGATTTGCATTTCCCTGATGGCAAGTGATGTTGAACATTTTTTCATATGCCTGTTGGCCATTTGCATTTCCTCTTCAGAGAAGTTTCTTTTTAGCTCTTCTGCCCATTTTTTGACTGGATTATTTTCTTTGTTGTTGCTGAGTCTCATCAGCTCTTTGCAGATTTTTGTGATCAGTCCTTTATCATTAGTGTTGGGTGCAAAAATGTTCTCCCAGTTGGTGGGGTTTCTCTTTGTTTTTGTTATTGTCTCTTTTGCTGTGCAGAAGCTCTTTAATTTGATGTAGTCCCAGCTGTTTATCTTTGCCTTCACTATCACTGCTTTGGGTGATGTGTCTGTAAAGATGTCTTTGATGTGCAGATCACGTAGTGTTTCGCCTATATTTCCTTCTATATATTTTATGGTTTCAGGTCTTATGTCTAGTTCTTTAATCCATTTTGATCAGTCTGCATTCTTACTGGCAGGGAAGGATTCCCTTTTCTTCACATCCTCACCTGCACTTGTTTCTGGTTGTGTTAATATGTGCCATACTTGCAGGTTGTGAGATGGTATCTCACTGTGGTCTTGATTTGTATTTCTCTAATAATAAGTGATCATGAACATTTTTTCACGTGCCTGCTGACCGTTTTAATGTCTTCTTTGGAGAGAGGTGTCTGTTTAATTCCTTTGCCCATTTTTTGATGGGTTATTTGTTTTGTTTTTGTAGAGTTTTATGAGTTCTTTATATATCTTTGATATCAGTCCTTTGTCAGATGTATGATATCCAAGTAAATACTTTCTACCATTCAGTAGGGTGTCTTTTTATTTTAGTTATGGTTTTTTTTTTTACTGTACACAATCTTTTTAGTTTGATGTCATCCCAGCTGTTTTATGCACTCTTTTTCTAAAACCCATTTTCCATCAAACTACTCCATTGAACGACAGCCACCAGCAAGTTACACAAAAGCTGCAATCATCTGAAAAGAGAGGATTGCTAGGGCCTAGGACTAAGCCATTATCCCCATCCATACATCTGTCCTCCAGCTTGTACAGGACAATAACTCAGAAAAACATTCACACTTAGCTTTGTCCCAAGTGGGAAGGATACACAAAAAAAGTCAGAGTATATAAACACACCAGGTTTCCATAATTATAGTTCACTTGAATTTTAAAAAGCAGGATGTATTAAAAGAAGGAAATGAAGACAGTATACAGAAATGCAAAGTTAAAACCCCCCTTGAGCCTGTTATACCTCCTCTGTTCCACAGCAAGTCTCTGTCATCACAAACAAGATGGCATGAAAAAGTTAATTAAGTACCAATAGCTGCTGAGAAGGCAACAAATAGATCTAACTCCAGTTGCAGATGATGAGTGAGGTTGGAAGGTGCAGAAAAAATCGAGGGCAGCAGTATGCACACTGGGTTACAGGAGGAACTACAACGGAATGAACTTTTGAGTGATCTAGAAGCGAGAGATGAAACTTTGCTTTCTGTCCATAAAATCCCTCACCCTGTAACCATCGCTAGAATTTTGTAGGATGAAGCATTCACAGACAGCGGCATTTTGGAGGAGGCATTTTGCCCAAGGCATCAGCAGAACACATTTGTCATCTGAAGGCAACACATGGAGAACTGTACCTCCAGCTTTTCAGTACTGCACAGAATTGTACTGTCACCAACAGGAACAGAAAAAGCTAGAAAGAGAAATGCAAATGATGAAGTCTGAATAGTTCAAAAGGAATGGTCCCTAAATCATGAAGACTGTATTTCTAGAAACAAAGACATAAAAACTTAATATCTGTCTGAGATATCTGGGACAAAATATCCACTTTAGGACAGGAAAAATGCCCTTTCAGGTGGGAACCAGTGAGGACCAACATTGGGCAATGTGGATCAGCACGTAAGAGTGGACTCAAGGGCAATAAAGAGCCAAGAAGGAAGAATCCTGCTTCATCTTTGCTAAGGGCATTTGTGGGGCCGGAGGCACACACATCTCAGGAAGAAAGTTGTTTTGTTTAAATCTTGCAGGGTGAGCAGGAGTTCACCAAGTTGATGGTAGAAGGAGGAAACATTCTAAGCAAAATGTAAAAGCACAGAAATAAAGAACAGTATGTTCCATTCACTAATGGCTATTGAAGGACAATAATAATAATTACACGAACTGAATACTTCTGAAATGCATTATCTCATTTAATCCTTCCAACATACCTATGAGATTATCCTAATTTCCATGTTACAAACAAATGCATAGTACATGAGGTTAAATAAAATATCTTATTAAAATCAATTTTTCCTTTTTTTAAGATTAACGTGAATATTAAGACAAGTTTAACTCACATACATGGCTCACAATATATTTTTATTGGTCTATGATACTCTGGACTTTTAAGTTAGATGATTGAAAATTCCTTCTTTTTTTTGTTCAATACTGAAACTGTAAGTATAAACAAGTACTTGCTACCATGAAATTCTTTATAACACAACCACCAAATATATCTCCAATACTGTTCCTTCTTTTAGGCTCCAGTCCCTGATGAAGGAAAATATTCAAAGGGACAGACA